GTCTCCTGGCGAAATGGTTATGTAAATGTGTGTGTCATCAACATAGATATGGTAACTTATTTTGTTGTTTTTCATTATCTGAGCCAGTGGTAGTATGTAGATGTTAAAGAGAAGAGGCCCCAAGATGGAGCCTTGAGGAACCCCACATGTCATATTTGTCAACTCAGATTTGTATTTACCTATAGAAACAAAGTTGTTTAAAGCTTTTAAATACCCAGAATTGGCACTTTAGTAACAGGGCTGAAATAAAGGGCTATGAGGCATGGCTAGAATGGGTGATCTGTTTGGTATTTTGAGCAAAACACTTCAGAGACATGTTTTTTATATATCTGAGACCTCTAATATATGCCTAAAAATAGCATGATCGGAGACCTTTAAGTTGTTAAACTGACATCAAATATATTAGTTATTTTTTGTAACAATGTATCATGTAATTAAGTACTGTATCTATCTATCAAAAATTGGGGCGGCTGCCACCTCCTCTGTCTCCAATACATCTGCCACATTTTCTGGTAAGACCTTTTATGTCATCCTACTTTTGATTAGTCTCCATCTCCAGGCTCCGCCAATCCATTTCTCAATCTAGTACAGAAGTTCTGGTTCACGCTTTCGTCACATCCCATCTCGACTACTGTAATGTTGTCCTCTCTGGCCTTCCCATCAAACTCCCCAATAAACTCCATATCATTCAGAACTCTGCTGCCAGGATCATCACCCGCACCAAGTCCTCAGACAACATCCCCCCATCCTCATCCAACTGCTTTGGCTCCCTGTTCAATCCTAAATTGAATACAAACACCTCCTGCTCACTCACAAAGCCCTCCACAACCTGGCCCTCACCTATCTGGCTGACCTCCTTCACAGGGGCGGATCTAGAAAAATATTCATGGGGTGGAAGGAGATTTTGAGGGGTGGCATCCCCTGGCAGAAATATATGCTGATTTAATCGCAGTCATATCAATCAATGTTAACTTGGAAAGCCACACTTTTGATATTTTAACTCAATAACATAGGTGACATTTTTGTGGCACATCAGTAAAGCCTTACATAGAAATATATAAGGTGGCAGACATAATTTAATGAATTTTAACTGAACAATAACAAATAAAAGACCGGCAGGGGTACCAAATGTACTGCTGCAATAAGTACATTAATTAACTGTCTCATCGATGTTTGTCTGAATTAATATGATACTATTAACAATCATATTATTCTTATCAGCTGTCAATCACTGTTAGGATTCACATATTCAGTGTTATTATTAAATAAACTATAGTTTTTGGAGTTTTTGGAGTTAATGATGAATTTTCCTGAAGATGCTTGCTCACCGTCCTTCAAAGTTGAATGACTATCATGTATCAAAATGCAGAAGAATCAAAAGAACAGTTCAGCGCCCCACAACTTTATTGCAAACAGTTACAACCTTGACTTTACATCAGAAAGAACAAACATTAACGAAGTGCATCAGTTAAGGTTAAACAACGTGTATTCAGCTAAAGCATATACATCACTGTAGTAATTATCCAGTGGAATGCCCTTAACTACTGGCCTAGTTAAATCAAAGTGGTTACTTTTTTTTGGCTGGGCAGTGTAGTTTTACACACCGTCTTATTTGACTTCCTCAGGACTTAAAACTGTTTTTTGGGGGCAGACCCCACAAAGAAATATATATATACACACATACAAGGTCATCATCTTAACAGTTTTTTATGAACATCCGTGAGCAGAGCATCAAGTTGGCATGCCTATAACAGCTGAATGAGGCGATTACCATGTTGTTCAGCAAAACGCCTCACAAACTGATTGAGATCCAAAGCTTTAGTGCATTTTGATTAAATGCTGAGTACAGCAAAACTTGACAGTCTCTTCTCTGTCATGTAGACCGCAAATACCTCATTCCTTCCATCTACTTGGGTCCGAATGCTTCTCGTTTTACGCCGTCCCGTTCAAATGAAATCGCCGCCAATCATATTAGGCTAGTTTGAGATGAGCGAGACTGACGTAGACCTGCACAATTGCCACTGCCGTCTTGCTAGTGTGTTGCATTATGGTTAGTAATTTTGTCCGACTTGCTCTGGAGGCTCGACTGCATGAGACGTGGCTGGGCAAGATGGCAGAGTGAGAAGTAACAACGTTGCAGGTTCGTAGAAAAAGTTTAGATTTTAGTCCTTGACTGTAAAACTGAAAAGCAATAGCTTATTCATGATACACTTTAAGTTATTATAGAAGCTTAAATAGTCACATTTTACTTTAATTCTCCAGTTACCACCACTTTTGACATAAAGTGCCTGTTAGCATGACCGACCACGATTACAACTTAAAGGTTCTCCGTGAGGCGTGTTACGAGTCGGATATTGAGGACATCGACATGGAAGTGGACAAGGGACTAAACATTTATTGGGACCACACACCAACTACAGATGTAGCGCTTCATTTCAGACGCCTACCCGTGCGGGTCCGTGATCTGCACGGGGTGGGCCCCTGCTGAAAAGGAAAAAGCCCCCGCAGGACTTGATACGCCCCCTTGATAAATAAATGTAATTTTAATGAAACCAGCTGCAATGGATCATGGATCCACCAGGGGGAGCCGTGAAAAGCTGCCACACTGGAACTCATGTGAAATAAACAGCTGATAGATCTACAGGTATCTGATCGGATATTTGTTAAGATGTATGGTTAAGATCCATATGTCACGGATAGGATCATATTCTGTGCTAAATAAGAGACATGTAATCATTTACAAAACATCACCATGTTTTTATTTAACAAAATAATGTTGTTTAATTCACGTAGGTGTAAGTACAAAACCATCGCTATGTTTTTTCATCAGGAAATGCAGCCCGGCTCAAACAAACGATTTTCAATCATCATCCTCACGATCATTTAATGTATCATATGTTCGCAAATTGAAATGAATGCACTAATACATGTAGTTTAATCCACGTGAGTTTACAACAACAAAAATAATCGCTTTGTTTTTATATCACATCCGACCGGAGGAAAATGCAGCACGGCTCTCACTACCGATAATCCTAATCCCACGGGCAAACAATAATATGTACAGTGTTAATAGTTTACTGTATTATTAGTGTCTAATATTACTGCTATAACAATCACACATTGAGTTGTTAAAATCAGACCGTTGTTTTTTTTTAAACAGCAGCTCTCAGGTGATCAGGTGTGTGTTTACCAGTGTTGGGACCAAGCCCCCAGGAAGTGCGCCGGACTCAGATGAAAATATTCGTGTTGGCGGTACTACACATCCGTTTGGTTGCCAGGCCCGGAAACACTTTTTCCCATTGACTTACATGGGGAAAGAGTGGTCTGTAAATCGTTGAATAATTTTTTTTAAACTAAATAAACTACCCAGTATGAACACTTGTATAGCCCTTATTAAAAACATTCATTCCTCAAGTTGTAATAATGTGCTAATAACGTTATTCTGAGAGTTATTTCCCTCTGCATTATGAACGCGCATCTAACCCACGGGACCGCGCCGCCCGGCACGTTCATGTTACATGTCCCGACCAATCAGAGCACACTGTGCTCACAGGAAGGGTGGGGGCTGGAGCTATTGGAGCTACAACGAGCCGTTAAAGGCAGAGAGTGAAATTCAGTGAATACAATACACGTAGTTTACAGAGATGCTGTTTGAGAAACCAATGTGAGTTGCGTTTATCTTTACCCATGGACGCACAATAAGAACGGACCCATATCGCCTTACTGCCACCCCACGGAGCTGTAATAATGGATATATTGCACATGTTTGCTATAATTCATTATCATACCACATGGGCTGTATGATTAAATCTTGTACCGTAAATGTTGTATTAAATAAAGTTAATATTACTTATTATTATAAGTATATATATTAGGGCCGGGACTCGATTAAAAAAATTAATCTAATTAATTAGAGACTTTGTAATTAATTAATCGAAATTAATCGCATTTTTAATCACATATAAATATTTGACCTGAGAACAGTGAGAAGCAATTTTTTTTTCACATGGATTTTAGTATACCATTGAATAATGACTGAATACATAAGCTTAAGTAACAAAACATTGTTTATTTTTTTTTCAAGGTGGTACTTAACCAAGACCAACAGAAAAGTGCAATTTTTGCCAAAAAGTGTAGCAATAGCATATTTAGGAATATAGTACATTTCAGAGATTCAGGTAGCCTATAGGTAGGTACTGTAGACCTTCTGTAAACTATAACACTTTGTTTTTTAAGTAAAACACAATACTTTCAAGTACATTCAGAACATTGGAAACCCTGACTATTAGAAAACATCTCTCTGTTGCTTCAGAGGCCAAAACAGACTTTGTTGATTTACCAACAGTTGATTTAAAAAATCTAATCAATTTCAGTCCAACTCTCTCAATAACCTTGGCCAAAACAATAAACAGTTCAACATAAAGTGCCAGTTGCACCAACAACATAATAAATAGTTCAACATAAAGTGTACCATTTAAAATAAAATAAAAAAAGTGCCAGTGATTGACCTCAATCCCTCCTATTCTTCCAATATCCTGATGAAAAATAAAATCTCTCTGTTGCATAGGCCACTGTTTGATCAACATTTCAATAACAAGCCCATTGGCCTCAGGATACCTCTAAGACTACTTATTATGCTTCTTCCAGCCAGTTGCTGAGACAAACTAGCCTGTTCACATTTTCAGAGCTCAAGGCTGCCCTCTTCTTTTGAACTATGTTACCTGCCAGTGAGAAAAGTCTCTCGCAAGGGACAGAAGTGGCAGGGCTGCCCAGATACTTGCGGGCCAGGGCAGAAAGCTGTGGATGGGCCCCCTCATGAGTGGACCACCACTGCAATGGGCAGTCTGTCTCACTGATGGTGGGCTCTGCCCTGTAGTGGCCCAGAGCCCCGTTGGGCCCCTCATCATCCTCTGATGCAGAGTCTGAATTAAACAGCAGGAGGCTCCTCTTCCTTGCTGGCTCCTCAGTGGGTTCTGGAGTGGCTCTGTCTGGTTATTTTCGCAGCAGTGCCTCAACGCTGGTCCACACCCCTCCTCGCTCTCCTCTTGGTAGACACTTTAGGTCCTTAGAATCAGAATCAGGTTTATTGTCACATCACAGATTTACAGAGTAAAAAGGTGGGTGAAATTCATTTTCGTACATGGTTCTCATCATATTGTTATTCCATAGAAAGAAAGAGGGGGGAGGGAAGAAGAGGGGGGGGGGAGGGAAAAGGAGGTCAAAAAGCAAGAAAAGAGAAAAACAAAGAAGACCATTACACATGTTACCTTAAAGCGCGGGTCGAGTGCTGTAGCCACCCTGAGCCATCCATGGTTGAGTGCATCTTGGCGTTGAGACAGGTCCTTTTTAAAGGCAGCCTTGAACCTCACCACATAGGCTGGGTCGTCATCTGAGACCTCCATGGTGCGGGTCAGGTGGCGGAGAGCAGGTAACACAACAGAGCACGAGACCCCCAAGGAGCTCAGTCACATATCTGCAGTGGATAGTTTAGGAAAGTGATTTATTATTGTACCAATTAATAGTAGATTAAAAACAGTAGCAACTTTATACTATAGTCATAGTGATATTGATATTCAGTACAATACATTTTGGAAAAGCAATTTAATTTATACTGCACTATCAGTCAATTCACAACGTTTTTCAAGGGACAGCAATGATGAATGAATCCCATTAATAAAACAGTTGGTGGGTGTTTACCTGCATGGTTTAAGGAGGGTCTCGAACCTCTGCAGTCTGTCCCACTCTGCTGTAGTCAACATGGTGAGCTTGTGCTTCTGTTTGGCTAGAGTAGCCTTCACAGCCTCTTGGTTCTTCAGCAGACGAGAGATCATAAACAGTGTTGAATTCCACCTTGTGGAAACATCCTGTATCAGTGGCTCTTTGTCTTGTTCTAGTTCTGTTTGCTCCTTGTGCAGTTCCTCTGTGTTTGAGGGGCTGTGTTTAAAATGCCCCACTATCTTACGACATCTTGCCAATGTGCCTGTGAACCCGCTGTCAGCAAGGCAAACTGTGGTGGTCCTTTGCAACACGTGAGCAACACACGGCATGTGCTGGAATGTGAGCAGTCTCATTGCAGTGGTCATGGTTCGGGCACTGTCTGTTCCGATTGTGGTGACTTTTTGTGTGACTTCCCAGGCCTCTGCCACAGACTCAAAATCTTCTGCCACGTTTTCAGCAAAGTGCCTAGTGGTGGTCTTCTGGATGGTCAAGGCAAATGAGTGAAGACGCCACTTGATGTCAATAAAGTGTGCCGTCACACCGAGGTCATTTGAATTGCTTACCGAGGTCCAATGATCCCCAGTCAGGGCAACACATTCGGCTTTCTCCAATAAATTCTCTTTATCTTCCTTTTCATTGTCATAAAGTTGCTGGATTCTTTTTGTCACTGTCTTTCTGCATGGCAGCTCATGTTGTGTCAGACGATGCAATCTGGAGTACCTTTTGCAGCCCCTTATCTTCTACCACTCCAAGTGGTCTACAGTCGAGTGCAATCCAGTGAGCTGGTTATTTTTTCAGACGTGGACTTAGTTATCCTGGCCCTGAAACCAGTCATCTGGTTGAGTGTGGGTTGGGTGTGGGTCTTTGTACTCAGAGTCGGGCTAACGTCCACGCTAGCTGCTATATGTTTTGCATTGAGGTGATACTTGAGGCTTGATGTGCTGCGGTGATATGCAAATTCCTTTTAGCATAATTTGCACACAACCGTGCTCTTATCGACGCTTCCATCCGTCCGTTTTTTAAAACAAAATATCCCATCCACGGGGCCAACCAAAGCGGTCTCATCAGCTTCTTCGTTCATGTTTGACTATTGTTCACTGTGGTTTGTTGTTGTCTGAAGTCATGTTAGTCAACGTTAGTTGGTGCTCCAGTATAATCGGTACACCTGAAACTCATCCAGTGAGAAACGTTCCGCGGTGCAAAAATAAGTGCGATTAAAATGCGTTAATTTTTTTACCGCGTTCATTTTTGTGTAATTAATTAATCTTAATTAACGCGTTAAAGTCCCGGCCCTAGATAATATATAATAATAATTCAAGTACATCCTTTCAAACTGCTAGTCACATCCTCATGTAAATGGCAATTTATCGAGTTCATTTTTATTTATCGTACGATAAGTCAATTAATTGCTTATTGCGACCGGCACACAATAAAACAGTGGAAACAAACATGTGTTTGACTTTCATTAGTGAATGAAACTTTGTGCCCTTTATAGTCTGTGTCCAATATTGTGTATTTGTATATATTGTATATATATCCTATATGCTAAGGTCCCGCTGCTGACACAATAGCAGTCATTTAGTGTGCATATGTGTAATTAAACCCATGATATCAAAATCTCACACCAGCCAGGTACCCAAAGTTGGCAACCCTGAGTAATGTAGTGCCGACTTTCTTACACGCTGGAAGGCCAATCGCTTTTCTTTACCCCGAAATCCGCTCATTCTTGCTCTTGGTGATAACAAACTGTCAAACTGTCAAGCTGTCAAAACTCTGTACTCAAACCGGAAGTACTCGGCCGCACACCCAGCCGCCAGAAGTTGATAGACGCCATCTTGTGCACAGAGCCTATAGCTGGCCCTCTGTGAATCTACAGAGGGACCAACAAGCTCTCCCGTCTTCACAGTAACTCGCAGAGACGGCATTTAACCCTTCACATTCCAACAGAAACTGAACAGGCAGATTCGAAGTATTTATTTCTTTGGAAATGTTATTTTAAATACAATTAAATCAAGTTATGTAGGTAAAACTAATGAAACATTTAACAAAAAAAAAACATTTTATTTATTTTAATGTTTTCAAATATTATTTTTTAGAATATCTTAGAGACACAGATCACAGAGGGCCTAGAGGGCCCTGACGGCTCGCCACTGACTCAAAGGTACAAAGACCCCTTTCATACTCGAAATATAGAATACTAGAATCGAGAAACGTTCTGGTTTAAATAGATAATGTAACAACTATAATACACTGATATACATTCCATTAAACATGACTAAATACTGACACATCAGGGAAATTGAGTGTTCCTTCCTTGCAAAAAGTTACATTTAGATTTTACCAAGCAACATGATTTTTTTGTCACCTTTCACATGTCAATGTATTTAAGGCAATTCATATTTTACTTTGTCTCTACATATTGTCTGTAAAAACGTGGTAAAAGTGGTTCTTGCAGTGAAACAACCGAACAGCATGACACTACAGTTGCACTAAGTTCTGATAACAGTTGAATATTATTTTAATAATTACATATATTTTAATGTTGATTAACTGCAGACTGTTCATTTATAATCTGATTATCTTTGTAGTACAAAGTGATGAATTTCAAAAACACATTCAAATAATTATGTATTTATTTCTACAGCCCTCTAACGCACCTCTTTCATAAATAACACACTTACTCTGCAATAATGTCATGTTTCTTGTCATTTCTGTTAGGAAAGGACATACCTGAAGGACACAACTGCCTCACCGTTTTCTCCGAGGGGCAAGAAGAAAATGAAAAGCTGATATGAGATTAAAGACCAATACAGGACATTCACTAAGAAACTACACTTTTATTTTGAACACAAATATCTGCACACTGAATCAAACAGGATCATAATTAGTTTGTGACAGCTGTGCCCAGTATAGGCAGTATAGATGCAGTTAGTTGGTTTCTTCATCAGGCCTGGTCCTCCTCCCAGAGAAAGACTGCTCCACCTCAGTCCTCTCCAGCCAAACCCACAGACAGGACATCCGTCACACTGAGGTTTCTCCCAAAGTCTCTGCAGCTCTCTGGACTCCACGTTGTCTCAATTGATCCACACTGTGAATATGAGAGGGGAAAATGTGTGTAATAAATGCTTTAGACAATAAGAAATCTGAAGTTAACAGTAAGGAGTGGCTCAGTTTTTTTAAATAAACAATACTATTACTATATTTCAATATCTCAAGTCTGAAATTAAATTAAATTTTAATTTAAAAGAAGAAGAGGCACCTAAAATGAAGGTTGTTATTTCAATACATTTAGTTGATTTTGTCTTTTTAATTGTTTAAAGTAAAGTAGATATAACAGGTACTTAAGAGTTTTAATACAGTCTGGTTGTGGAGGAGGCACACAGGTAAGAGCACTAACTAGCTACCATCACATGTAACTAAGCTTGACTTGAATTTATTAAAAGTATAATCAAGTAACAGCAAAAAATCAATAACTAAAATCATGCAAATATTTGAATCTTTGCTGGATTCACTGTTGAATTTACCACAAAATATATATTTTAGAAACCTGAAGGCATTTTAAGATTTGTATGCAAGTATTATCCCAAAAACTCAATACCTTAGATCAGTGGTTCCCAACCTGGGCCTCAGATGATTTGAGGCCAAATATCATATTTAGACTTTTTTTTTCTTTTTCTTACATATAATTGTAAGGCAATACATGATTGTCACTAAAAGCCTCTTCTCTACATTACAATAAAATATAAAAAATTGATTCATTAATTTTAATAACAATTCAAGTTAGTATTAAAAGCATAAAAAGAAAGACATTTATAATTATTTCTTTAATAGAAATGTTTCTTCTGCCCATAAAGTGTCCAAACCAGGCTTGTCTGGATAAGCGCATTTTTAAAAAATTGTCATTGTCCATGCCGGTTTCAGTTGGATGATTTGTCACAGTTGCTCCGATCAGATCGGTCTCCTCCATTTTGTAGATTATTTACGACTTTTGAATCCACATAAACACATCGGCAAAATCCGGCTTACTTTGAGCATGTGTTTTAAACAGTTTAATCCCTTCGTGAATTGTTTCCACTTCCATTGTTTTCCGTCCTTTAATTTCTTCATACAGCGGGAATCCAAATGAATTAATACTGAGTCCAATAACCATCAAAGTCACTCCAATAGTGCTCCTTAATTACGCTTTCATCCTCCTTTAACAAAATACTTCACATTCATCCAGTTTGTGACAGTAGTTGTAGCATTTTTGAGACTTTTAAACTTGAATTACCGCTGTTGCGCAACTTCCAACAGGAGTCCTTTGGGGGGGCTCTTGGGAAAAAAGGTTGGGAACCCCTGCCTTAGATTATTATTGAAAGTTTTGCTGAATAGTTTCATGTTCACTTACCTTAAGCAACGTAAAATGTGCAGACCAGGGGTCCTTCTCAGGTCGATTAAATTGAATGCGTCCCTCACTTACGTCGTTTCCCTGCGACTAGTCCCTCCCACCAGGGAAGCATGGAGAGACGCAAGGAAACCACGAGAAGCAGGGAAATTAGTTTTAAGAGCAATGGGATGTCATTTTTTCCGGTTTGTGATGACGCCGCACAGCTGTTCGTCTGACAGCAGCCAGCTCTGTCCCCGTTATTTTCACAAACACCCCCGCCTCTGTTAGTACACATTTACTGACACAAACATTTGTATCATCTGTTGTAGATCCAAATACATTAAATAAAATAAGAACTCATTCTCAAAAAAGATAAACGCCATTCTTAAAATGTATAAACGAAAAAAGCGATCATGAAAATGTTTCCAATAAATGAATAAAACATTTTTTGACCACTTTGTTGTTCAGATATATCACATATTTGTAACTAAATGATCCATAAATTGAAACAAAACACGGTATAGACTGAGGAGTGACTCCCGTGAGGTTCATGTATTTTCTTCACTTCGCTGGGAAACTGCTCTCATGTCAAGAAGCATCAGATCAGTGCATGCACTGCATCGTCCAATCAGTGAGCGATACACAGTAAGGGGGCGTGCGAGTATCCGTGGATTTCATCAGAGGATGGTCTGGTGATTCCTCCATTATCGCTCCTCCATTATCGCTCCTCGATCCTCGGTCCTCCGGCAGAAATAAGCGCCATGGGACGGTACTCAAGATGGCGCAGACAAATCAACTTCCGGTGATACCGAAACCGAGAAGCGAGGAAATGAAAATAATCGACCTGAGAAGGACCTCAGGAGCAACAGACGTAGGTTAGCCGGCTAGCATCACAGAGCAGCCCTGCTGAGCATGTTAGCTTAGCTTGGTAGCCTCAGCTAGGTCTGGAACTTCGGTGTCAGCAGGTCCCGCCTCGGCTCCACCTCTTTGCCCTGATTTGGATCAGGCGGGAGTTAGACTCTGACGTCACTGTCAAGACGTTAGTGGCCAACACCGCCTACTTTAGGCTTCTCTGCAACTCTGCAGAATCCTATGGGTGACGTCAAGGACACTACGTCCATTTATATATACATACAGTCTATGGTTTTATTGCATGACTGAAAACACAACATCATTTTTCATATGAAAAAAGATTTTATTTATCTGTTAGCAACACACCTGCACTTTAGTAGTATCATCGTTTCCTTTAGGGCCTTACTGTTATGCAGCTAATATTTAATAAACAGTAAACAGTTTGTTACATATTGACAAGTTGCCCTTGTGCCATTCAAACAGAGAAATACATACAAGATGAACTGTGACTAATGCAAAATCATACAAATGCATTCTATGGAGATGTCCTTGGCTGGAGACCAAACTATAATCCAACATGTGTCCCAGGAGGCTGTCAAACTAGCCTGAATGGAAAATGACACGAAAATAATTTGTTATAAATAACTGTACGGCAGTGTAGATTATACACATATACATATTTATTTAATTTAAGACGCTTAAAGATGGTTCAGAGTTTTTTACATCCCGCAAAATGCACATTACACACAACTTAGTGAGGTGTTATGCTTGATCGTTTATAGAATTGATTATTTGGTATGATGCAGGAGTCCAGAGGCCTGTACTACGAATCTGGTTCAACCTAACCTGGATATGTTTGAGTTAGCCGGTTGGCCTAATCCAAAACATACGCGCTCTCGCTAAACTGTACTACGACGCTGGTTATCAAGTGGATCGCTCAAGCCAGCCGTATCTATTTAGGTACGCGTTCACATGAAAGGGGTGGTATTTGGAGCATTCGACCAATCACAAACATGGAGAAGCGTACTGACAGCGCAGCGTCATACTTCCTGAATGAAAAGTGAACTATAATTAGACAAATATGAAGAAGTTAAACTTTAAACATCCATGACTTAAACACTTTATCCAGGATAAAAGCAGACCCGGCGTCCAGGATTTGGGCCCGCTGTTTTAATCAGGGCTGAATACAACATTTTAATTGTTTTATTATTATGCTTATTGTTGTTATTTGTAGGGCTTTGTCCTAATATTTATTTTTGTTTTAAACTATGTTGAAAGATTAGTTTAATATCATTTTTTTATTTTGCTATGAAATTCTGAATGAGGACTTGTTTTTCGCTGGGTTGAGTCGTGTGGGTTTTTGAGTGAGATGCGGCACAGCAGCCTGTCAGTTTACTCTTGCTAGGTTAGTTTGGCTATTATCATTTATATTTATCTGCAACAATGGATATCAGGAAGTGGTTCACGAAAGGAATATGACAACTCAGCGCCAGATGCAGGCACATTAGAAGAAATCAGTTACGTTACCAACGAGCTAGCAAGCCAACCAGGGACAAGGGAGGCTGGCAATCAATTATATTTTGAAGAGAAATTGACTCAAACTGCTCTGTGCGCAAGCAGACCGCTGCACACGCTCTCTGCCTCGCTCAATCTCTCTCTCTCCCTTTCTCTCTATCTCTCAACCTCACTCCACCTCTCCACCCTGTGTGCGCTCCTCAAGTTTGCCTGTGTGCTTGCCCAAGTTGGCACAGCGTTACAAATGCGCCACAAAACCAACCAATAATAAGACCGTCAACAGCCTTATGGCAACCTAAAAACCCCCCCCGTTGACAAATCTCGAGCGTCTAACAACCCCCCCCCCCCCCCCCCCCCCCCCCCCCGCTGGGTCTGGATAACACCCACATAGCTGCACCTGCAAGGTGAATACAGCTGGTAAAAGAAAAAGTGTTTGAATGCGTAACAGGTTTATGATATCACTGCCCCGTCTAAGACACGAGTGGATCTGACTTGAATTACATTTGACTTGAGTGTTTCGTCAACTTAATGTGTTGTTTAAAATAATACTTCTGCACACAGTAGGCCTATGTGACACTGTGAGTGTTGCACGGCCAGATACGGCTCAAGAAGTTGACTCAGATAAGGAAATATATGATACATTGTGATGTGATATGCAGCGGACTGTATTTAATGTTACTTTGATCCGGTTACTTATGTTGTGGCAGATATTTAAGTAAGCTTTCTTAACGCTAATGTTATAATAGTCAGATTGCTCTGAAGATGGAGCTGATATTCTATTAATGTTCACGTTCACACAGTCGGTGATTTTTGCCGGCCGTCTTTCCTGCGACGGCAGCTTTTCTGTATTTCCTTTCTCCTGTAATATGACTTGATCGCTTTAAACTCCGCACACTGAGCTCTGATTGGTCAGCAGGCAGTGCTTTCACTGAGTTGAGCTCTTAGCCTGCAACCTAACCTGCTCCGGAGCAGGTTAGCCGCTCAGCATAAGTTACCATGGAGATCTAGCCTGCTAAAAAGAGAACCAGCGTCGTAGGACCGGAAACCCAGAGTTTTCCCTGAAGTTAGCCGGCTAAGCGAAAATCCTGCTTCGTAGTACAGGCCTCTGGTGTGTGTAGGACTACAGGCTGAGATGTTCAGATGGATATTGTTCAGTGTTCAGACATGGAGTCAGGACGTGGTTAAAGCTAATCAGAAATGTGAACAAAAAACAGAAATCATCCTCTGCGGCCCATCATTAACCAGACTTCTATAAATTGCATAACTCAATATTTATCAGAGGTGGTAGGTAACTACGTACATTTACTCTATACTCTGTACTGTACTTAAGTACACATTTGAGATCCTTGTACTTTACTTTAGTATTTTCTACTCGACTACAATTCAGAGGTAAATGGTGTACTTTTACTCAACTACATTTATTTAATACCTTTAGTTACTTTGCATATTTTGATTAATGATGTGAACTTTAATAAACTCTTAAATCAGACTTTAGTTACACCTGGAGTAAATCCACAAGCTACCCTGCAGTATACAAAGTCATTCAAACTAGCTGCACCTTCACCAGCTTTGAGAACACTTTCATGATCAATCATTATAAAACACATCATATATATTATTCTGAAATGGACCTGAATGGATCGCCACAATGACTACTTTTAATTTTGCTACTTTAACTATATTTTGATGCTAATACTTTTCAACTTTTACTTGAGTAACATTTTGAATGCAGGACTTTTGGTACTTCTACTTTTACTCAAGTACAATATCTGAGTACTTCTCCCACCTCTGATATTTATGTTGCAATGTTATCTCTGATGAAAAATATTCCAACCATGACATTATTATTTTAGGGTAAATAATGTATTGCCATATGCAAATCTGACTTCCAAACTCTGACCCCCTAACCAGCTCAAGTGTCAGGCAGCCCCCATGCTACAATGCACTATATCTTCTATATGTTTAATTCCCTCTCCTCACTGCAGCCTCACCTCTTCCGTTGTTGCAGCCCAGACCGCTGGCGTTTCCTATCCGGTCCATCCTGGCTCCGAAGCAGCTCGAGGACCGCTTCCTGGAGCCGATCAGCAGGTCCAGCAGACGGCTCCGCTCACTCTGGCCCCTGCTTGGGCCCTCCGCTGGCACTTGGGATCTCTCTGATGTCAAAGGTTGTTGGGGCCCCTCCTGGTCCAGGTTCCATCCCCGGGGGGCCTGGCTGTTGTCAGGCTGCTGGTTGGTGTCTTCATAGTCAGCCTGGTCTGCTTCAGCCAGCGTCTCCTCAAAGCGCTGCAGCAAAGACTGGGGGGTGGAACAGTCTCTTTATGTTAAAGTTACACATGCATGCTTTAACCACTAGGTGTCCCTTTCTATCAGCTGTGCACCGTTACGGTGTAAATACAGCCTATCTACCAATTGGATCAAATATAAAAGTCAGCCGAATTAGTGTTGATACTGCAAGGAAACGTATTGTGTGAAAATAAATGTAAGATGTTGTTTAATTGCTGATATATTTATGATCCACGTCACGTTTTCAGTTTTGGCGGCAGTTCCTCATGTTTGTCTAGAAGTCTTCTCATCAGGGCTTCGGCAGATATGTAATATTTAATGCAGCCGAACCGTGTATTACAATGCCGTTATGTAATGACTTTCAAAGAGAAAAGCAAGCACACTCGGAATAAAGTATTATTTTATTTCTTTTAAATTTTTCGGATTTCACATCGCATAAACACCAAATCCCAGCATGCATTGCGGCTAAACCATCCAATCATCGAGCTGAGGATCTTGCCTACGTCTGTTTCCGGTATTGTTTATGACGGATGTATTTTGTTATACACACAGTCCTTCATATTTAAATTTACATTTACATTAAAGTATTTCGTGAGGCCTTCTAAAATGTTTTTAAATATAACTACGGTTCTAGTTGAAGAGTTTGTAAATTAACATGAAGCCAAGTTGTTGCCTGGCAACGCAATCGCACAACGTCACGTCCGTTAATTCCACAACCGCACACATGGATTAACATCGATTTAATACATTAATGTAGCCTTTGTTTCTGCTCAAAGAGGTGTCGACCAGCTGGGGCAACAAGAAAATCGGTGTAATCGAGTGTGACTATTAAAAAATAAATCATTATTATATTAATATTGACAATAACAACCGACCGTCGTGGTAGAGCATTTGCTTGGCATTTCCAGGTATTTGGGCCATGTTAACAATACTGTGTAACTGTCACGTTTGAAGGGACGAAATCTTGACATCTTCACGTCTCCCAGCATGGTAAATCGTCACATGTTCACGTCTTGCCGTGATACCGTTCCCATTATAGTAATGTATTTATTGTTAACATTGGCAGTAGTGTTATTTGTTGCATCGAACAGAACAGACACACTCAGTCTTTAGTGATAAGTTAATGGGTGTGGGGAGGGTTCTTACCTTGAGCTGAACCAGGTCACTGTTGGAAGACGACCTCCCCAGTGTATGAGCACTGACCAGTGTGTGCTGACACAGCAGGGCTAGCAGGCCCCACAGGACCCCCGTCCTCATGATATCCTGCTGCTGCGACTACTGACACAGCCTGCACCGCAACCCTTATATACATGCCAACACACACACACACACACACACACACACACACACACACACACACACACACACACACACACACACACACACACACACACACACACACACACACACACACACACACACACACACACACACACACACACACACACACACACACACACACACACACACACACACACACACACACACACACACCATGCACCAGACAGTCAGTGGCTCATCATTTTGAATATCGCCTCAAGTGCATTCTGACACCTCTGCATGATAAGACAGCTGGTCAGATGTCCCTTTAAGTGTCGCTCAGTGGTAGGTGATGCTGTGTGTGTGTGTGTGTGTGTGTGTGTGTGTGTGTGTGTGTGTGTGTGTGTGTGTGTGTGTGTGTGTGTGTGTGTGTGTGTGTCTGGCTATCATCACGCTTACCAGCATGCAGTGGCATGACATCAAGTGCCATGATGGAGCTCTGAGCTCAGACGTGGTGTGTATTGATGGGAATGCAGCATTCACCATGCAAATACTTAACACTGTCTGCACTCCTGAGCCTGAAAATACCATAGTAGGTTAAAACAGATGCTCCTGGGTTGCAGGGAGGTTAAATTAGGAGAGGAAGGAGAGATGTCACCATCAATTCAAGATATTAGTTAACACTATTTATCATACGATGAACTGATGACATGTCTGTTGAGCAGTCTGTTATGTAGGGTTTGGAATAGTTTAGATGTTTTTAAAATAGCATACAGTCTTTGCTCTGTTATAGATAAGTTATACTTTATATTACATCTATAAATAGACCTAAGTGAAAACATTTAGACCTGTATATCCTACAGTATGGTGCGATTTATAAAATGGTACCCTGACGTGTAGCTGCCGTTTGCTTTATGTATTTCTCTGACATTTTGCAATGTTTTACTGTTTATTAAACTTTGGGACAACATTACAACCTTTTTGTTTAGCTCATGCTGCTTTGAGGTAGGGCTAAAAAAAAAGCCTATTTGAAATATTTCCACCAGATTTTATCATCTTTTATTTAGGTTAAAGTTTATTTAATTCATCCTAATCCCATAACACAATATAAAATGGACAGCAGCCTTTTGCTGTATTTTTGTTTTGCAGTGCTGTCAAAGAGATGCAAGTCTGACTGTCATTTCTTCTCTTTATTTTAAAAAATAAAACCCAAAACATTACATCATTTTAAATAATCCTTTAGGGATTGTTTTTATGAAATGCTTTGAGTTAAATGTTGCAATAATACTTTTGCAACCCTGTGTTTAATATGATTAATTCACTTTTGTTTTGTTTTTCTCTGTGATTAGGACAATTCTAGAGAAATGGATCTGCTGGGGAAGGACCCCTAATCTGAAAAGTGCACGACAAATCAGCAGGACAGAGCTTCCATCGACCTGGAAACCCCAAGGTGCTGGAGAAAGCAAAACGGCGGTCAGGGACATCATCCACCCAAACCTCTGCTTACTGCCGTCCTACAGACGTATGAGTGTAGAACTGTAGAGATCATCACTGCTGTCGCTTTAGCCTTACATAATTTTACTTCAAATTAACAAATCACAGCTGTGTGCCTTATAGTACTTGTCATTTTGCATATACTTATTACATTGCTTTTAATTGTGTATTTCAGCAGAGCAGGGGGTCACGGTGGTGCTGGACCTGGAAGTGCTGACCTGGTGTAGGTAGGACATCATCTGGGCTGGTTTAGGGGAAGAAGGAGAATATAAAATGTTATAAACCACAGCTATATATTAAGATTAGAAAACTAATATTGTTAAGAATCAATCTATACAACATGCTTTTGTTCATTTAAAAAAAACATATTATTTTATTAGTACAGAACAATTAAGACTTATTTTAAAAATGAAATAATATGATTAAATGACATGAGCTATACATAATTCACTTGTTAACTTACTAATGTGACATTACTGGGGGCTAAAGGAACAGCTTAATCTTATTTACCTGGCCATGGTCCTCTTTAATTCATCGCCGACGGTGATCTCCAAAAAATGGTTAAAGTAAAGTTTCTGGATCCTTTTCAGCTGAGTTAGCTTGTGAGCTAATTTGCTTGCAGGCTAATGGGGCAGCACAACAGAACAGCGTGTATCACGTAACGTAAATACGAAGTGCTCCGTAGGCTAGACCGTCTCATTTCGTAGCCCGCTCGGCCCGGCATACCCGGTCTACGTGTGCATGGAGATTATTCCCTACCTTTATTCAAGAGCATGTTCTTTCAATTTGAGAGCATCATTTATTGATTTCACGTTCATATTTTGTATTTCTTTCCCTCAAACCCTGTCCTCGCACTCAAATAGCGCCTGCTTGCACTTAGATTTGCTCTGCTTCTGCTCAAACTGTACGCTTGCACTCAGATATATTGCTGCTTGCACAGATTTCCTGTTTTCCAGTTTAAAACCTTCTCCTCGCACTCAGGCTGCTTCTGTGCGCTCGTCAAATGTCTGCTCTCAGATTTCTGCTCTTGAATTTTTTTGTGCAACAACCCTGTCAAAATCCCTCAACCAATAGGAGGCCAGGTGAAGTATTTTCTCCTTGCGGGCGCGTTCACTTTACTTATTAGAGCATACCATAAGGGAGGTTACTCTTTAACCAGGTTTATAAACTTCACTTGCTTTATTTACGACTTTTGGAAAAAAGGACAGTTAAAATATATATACAATCACCCGTAGTTTTTTCAGAAGTTCATCTCTGAAGAACCAGCACCTTACCGTGGTGGAGAGGTTTGTGTGCCCTGATGAATCTGGGGGCTGTGTTGTCTGGAACCTTGTGTTCCTGGTTGGGTCTCCCATGGCAAATTGGTCTCAGGCAAGGGGCCAGACTAAGATTGGTTCAAAAGACCTCATGAAAGACGACACAGGAAGTGAGGATACCCGGCCCGGAGGAAGCCAGGGGTCCCCTTCTGGAGCCAGGCCCAGAAGGAGGACTCGTCGGTGAGCATCTGGTGGCCGGGCTTGCCACGGAGCCCGGCCGGGCACAGCCCGAAAAGGCAACGTGGGCAACACCTCCACTTCTCCGTCCCGGGGCCCACCACCTACGGGAAACAGCGATGGGGTCGGGTGCGCTGCCAGAAGGGTGGCAGTGAAAGCAGAGGGTCTCGATGGACCAGACCCGGGCGGCAGAAGCTGGCTTTGGGGACGTGGAACGTCACCTCTCTGGGGGGGAAGGAGCTTGTGCGGGAAGTGGAGCGTTACCAGTTGGATCTGGTTGGACTCACCTCTACGCACAGCGTCGGCTCTGGAACCTTACTTCTGGATAGGGGTTGGACTCTATCATGGGCGGACTGGCCATCTGTAGAATCTGGAGAACCACAGAACGGCCGGTCGTCAAGGGCCGTTGACGGCCGGCCCTTTAAAACAAATTGTTTAACGTCATAATTTAAGTTGCGCTGATGGCCGACAGAGAGCGACAGCGGCCGCTAATGCAGTTGTGTGGTTCTTATCTGTCAAATAATCACACACGAAGAAGAAAAAAGACCGGCCACACGAAGAGAAGGGATTAGACGCCGCGCAGACAGGAAGAATGAAAAAACATGGATACAAATCAAAGAAAAGAAAAAAGTCACTCGCAGGTGAAGAATAGAATAGAATCGTTTAATGTCATTATACATGTACAATGAGATAATAAATACTTCTCCATTTCAAGGGTGCCATCAAAACAAAAAACATCACAACATAAGACAACAAATACATGCAGCATACATACTTAGGAATAAGGAATAAAGTGCAGTAGTTATTTCCAGGAGTATACAAATAAAATCTGTAATGTAATAAATAATAATAATAGCCTAATAATAGTATGTATTTATAATAATAATAATAATAATAATGATATATATGTATATATGTACAGTCACATTTATGATGATTAAGAGGTATGATTTCAGGTGTTAAGAGCAATGATGGCTTTTGGGAAAATTTACAGAAAAGAAACCATTAGAATCGAGGCCAAATGCTACCACTCGCAACTGAAAAGTGAGAAACCCCACAGGCTCTGTATCAATGTTGCTGATGACAACACCATCATGGAGCAGTGTTGTTCGTGTATTGCAGGGTAAGTAATTTCTAACACATTATTACCTTAGACCTCCATGGTGATGCAAGCATTAGCTATAGATAACATTAGCTAGCTACTCTCAAACATTACTTACAGTTGATTTGATTGAAGATTACAAGAACTATGACGATAATCCATGATTACTACTATTGCTGAAACGTTAGTGACAGGCAGGCTACATTAAAGTATACGGTTGCACCAGGTTCAATGAGTAGCCTAGTCCCACTGCACTGGGGAGCTATATACAAGTAGCAGCTAATACGAGCAGTGTTCTCAAACAGTAGCCTATTTCTTTTCTCCCTTTCTCATTGCTGTTGAAACCATAGGGCACCAGGTTACTGTTCGCACATCATTGGGCTCATGTACAGTTTAGACATTTCTCGTGCCCAAAATGAAGACACTGCCTCCTGTACAAGTCGGCCACAGCAGTGGCATAAACCCAGAGGGAAGAAGGTAGCAGGCCAGCGTATATCCTCTGCAGTGGTGGCAAAAGCCAAACTGAACCGCAAACGGAGACCAGTGATCCCCACCTACACTCCTGACAGGTAGTTTCAAAGCACAATAAAAACACAGATACATTTGGTAATAAAGGCAAAATGGTGCTCCTTCAGTTTATTGAAAAAAAAAGTTTGCACCGTCATGCAGTTTGATGTGAAAGAATAATAGCCTAGGCACAACATCAGATACATTTCTACAGTGAATAGTTAATACTATGCATAACACAGTTAACAGTAACATGTATCTTTCTGCCTTTAGGAGTCAGGAATCTGAGGAAATATATGAGACACTGAGAGGAATGAGAGGCACACTGTTACGCCCTCTCAAGTGGGAGGAGAGGAACGACGCACACACCAGTTGGATTTGGTAAATAATTATAGGAGGTTTATT